CATTGGGACCCATGTTCTCTATCCTTGGGCCAGTAACACTAGCATTCGTCAACATCGCATAAGCAATGGGCTTATTAATATTATTATGCCTTTATCATTTAATCCTACTCTAAAATGAAATAGCGATATAGCCTTTTATAGCATATAGGCTATAGGTAATAATTATTGAAAGATTCGTTCACATTTAGCCACAAGTTCCCATCTCGCTTAACACAACGTCATCCGCCGCGTAACACTAACACTGTAACAGTAACAGTCGGCGAGCCTGGTCGGTTTAGTTCACATTGGGCCAATGTATATTTACTTTAGTAATTTACCTAGGCTGCCGATCGAGCATGATGATGATGATGATTAGCCACAAGTTCCCATCTCGCTTAACACAACGTCATCCGCCGCGTAACAGTCGGCGAGCCTGGTCGGTTTAGTTCACATTGGTCCCCAATCTATATTTACTTTACTCTTTAGTAATTTACCTAGGCTGCCGATCGAGCATGATGATGATTAGCCACAAGTTCCCTTCTCGACACTTCGTTTCGACATTTCAACATTTCGACATTTCGTTGGCACAACGTGTAACACAGTCGGAGAGCCTGGTCCGTTTAGTAGGCCCCTATCGAGTGGTCGGTTTATCATGATGATCTAGCCTACTTTCGTAAGATCATATTTAGCTAGGCCTAGCGATTTGAAATTAGAACACGAGCCTTATCGAGCCGAATCGGGATACTTACTCTTAGTCTTAGTCTTAATCTCGATCTTTTGCGATTTCAAAATTCAAAACAGTTCAGCTGCACATCATAAAATATCACGTTAAAAATGGAAGTACCGTAAACACCGTATGGATTGTAACAGGACTAGACTGAAATGTACATCAGCACCATAACACAAACACATGTAAGTTGTAACGTGCTGACCTCATGCGCTGACCAACGGCTGATCTCCCATACTGCGATGGCACCACTTGCGCGCTGCTCACTTGTTTAATGGCAGCCTCCAACACTTATCACGCTGAAGTAGGGTTTAGTCTTCGTCTTAGTCTGAATCTTAGTGTATACTATAAAATATATGTGGAGGCCCAGCTCCAGGAAACGGTATTGCTAGGGTTAGAATACCCGGTGTATTGACGTTAGTCACACAGCCTGGTCGGGTTAGTGGAGGCCCAGCCTAATATTTAATTATATCTAGTAATTACGTGTATTCGAGGTTGTCTTGTGTTTTTGGCTGTGAGACATTACATTTGAAATGCCAATGACATCATCATCAATTCATGCCATCATCAATTCATGCCATCATCATCATGCCATCATCATCAATTCTAGCCCGACCAGGCTGTGCGACGGATTGTCTATACAGGGTACATTGTCTCTAGGGTATTCTAACCCTAGCAATACCGTTTCTTGGAGCTACATCAATTCATGCCATCAATTCAACACGCAATTGGTGAATTGCATATTATTTGGATTTTGCCATTTGTACCACCACTCAGTTAGGCTGAGAGGGTCTATGTCCCCTGGGGTACTGCCGGAACGTACCCTGGGTACGGTCCGGTATACCGTATCTAATATGCCGGACCGTACCTCACCTATTCCACTAACGAGTCTAGGGAGTCGCCTACGCCTATACTCCCTAACCCGAACCCGAACCCTAACCCTAACCCTAATCCTAACCCTAACCATAACAAATAGTGACCAGGGTACGTTGCGGTATACCGGACCGTACGGCATACCCTGGGGGACATAGACCCTATGAGCTTCAGTTAGGTCCAATTAATTCCGCCAAACGCCTACTTATGTAACTTAATACATACTGAGAGTAAAGTGTCAACCTTCGTCTTCCAGATCTTTTCTCTTTTGTATATAGTTAAAATTCTAAATCACTTTCATTCCCATTGCAAAAACTGAAAAAGTGCTGAAGGAAGGACTATATCACATGTGTTTTCCCCTACCATATTATTATTAGCTCATCTGACAGAGTCAGATGCAGCTTGTAGAATCGCATGATCGTCCGTCCTGTCTGCGAGGCTCCGTCCGGTCCGTAGCGTTTCCTACCGATAGTTTGCGGCACAAATCTTAATAGACGCCGCAGCTCGACGTAGCGTCCGTATTTCGGGATGTGGGAGGGTAATCCGAAAAGGAGTTTTGGGATCGTTCGACATGTGTCGGACTGCTCAAGCGTCAAAGGTCAAGAGGTGAAAGAAGGGGAACTGTCACTCCTTAACTTAAGGGTATTAGGGAGAATGCAGAATTTGCGCACAAATCTAACGGCGTCGACCTATAGGCTCGCTGATTAGTTTGGTGTATAGCATTCCATGGTAGGAGAAAGCCATTCACTGTGCTGAATTGGAGGTACAGTCAAAGGTCAAATGGGCACAGGGCGGAATTTTAGAAATTTTGAGGACATGCGTCTGACGGAGCCGATTTGAAAAACTTTTTTGGTTTCAGCGGGGACTGCATTTTTTATGGCATTATTGAAAGGACCATGGAAATCTACTTCTGCTGACATGCCAAAGAGTAAGTGTCAGATAACGCTTTTGACCCCTCAAGAGGAGGTAACATGGAGTTTGTTTGATCGTCTGCTTAGAGAATGACTGCCTGGTACCGGGGTGCTAGTAGTGATCTTATACATGCCTGGATGGTATGACGGTTACATGTCACAGTGAGAATTTTCAAAAGCCTAATTTTGGTTATAAGTAGGTTTATGCTCCTTACACTCAGATATAATTTCTATGGAATTCTGTACTGCGTCAGTATGCTACATGTAAGTATGCCACTGCCAGTGGTACTGCCAGTGCATGTGTTTGGTCGGATACTGGTGTAGTTTCTTGCCTGTTCGTTAAATCTGTTACAGGTTGGCAGCTCTTCTATGCAGCCTGTTAGGCTTGCCAGTAGGTCAATTGGATTGAGTTCTTCCTATTCTGTATTGCAAATAGTTGTGCTATACGTATGATGGGTGCTTCATCTTTTAATCTGGATGAGGACACCATAAAACGTACGCGCCATCTCGTTGGCATGCTTCATAAACTGATCCCAACAAGATCATTCCTTGAGAAGGTTCTGATTACATCCCTGTGCATTCACTGTTTCGGGTGTAATTGTGTAACACCATTTTGCGGACTAACAAGGTTTACTAGAATCACGACTCACCATCAGAGTCACCGCAGTAGCGTTAGATTGTGAGCGCTGTCGCCTCCGCCGGCACTTGTTAAATTCATATTCTAATCTGACAAGCTAGTCAACAGGCAAACAACAAGCATAGACAGGTTCATAGTCATGCTAGCACTCTCTTGCATCTAGATAAGTAGCTACGTGGCTACTGTATAAGTTTATCAAAATACTGTAGTCTTATTTACGTTTATACTAGATACTTAGGGAGCTTATATTAAAGGCAGCAAAGTCTACTCATCCCGCGCGGTCGCCACCAACTGGGGGGGGGGGCTAAACACTTGTTCACACCATGTTTCTGAATGTGTTGCTCGCCTATATACCAGTTTGCTTTCTATGCTCCATAAGGCCATTGCATTGCTGTCCGTACTGACATTTTCATACTAGCCTATGGTGCGAGCGCCTTCAGGAGCTGCTCATCTTTAGTCATGTTTACCAAACTAGCTACCAAGTTCAGGCAACTCCCTAACCTCACCCCCCCTTTTTCCCCCCCACAGGGAGCTTCACAGCAATGGGGTGGCCATTGTTGATTCTTAGCATAATTAAATCATCTGCATGCCACATATTTATTCGTATTTATTTCCTCAAACTTGTCTTTTTGAATGGTTTTAACTGGTGCATGTCAACGAGGTCAGTTCGATTAGTTACTCGATATCGCGTTGAACGTGGCGTCGACCAAGCGCTTGTTTATCAAAATCATAATCGATTTCATCAAAAAAAAAAAAATATATATTTTTTTTTTTTAAACTTGAACAAGAAACTTGGAAAAAGTGATGAGAATCAGAGATATTCATCGCTACTATACAAGTTATCTTTTATTAATCATACATGTATTATACACGAAAAGTAGTAAACAGTGCCCAATAACAAACGTAACAGACTAACAAGAGCATTACATGCACACACGTACATGCACACGACGTACGCACACGCAGGCATTCAACACCCCGAGTAACCGATTGTAACCGATCATCGATTACTTGGGTCCAACCGATGATCAATTACGAAATTACAACCGATTGACAACACTAGTTTTAACACATTCTGGTGGTTACCCTCAATGTGCGTGATTGATTTACTTATTTCAGTTTCATTGTACGCGGGATAGACAACGATGGGTGTACTGGATGTGCCAACGAAGCAACCGGCTCGGCTGTTGCTCAGCACCTACACCTCCTCGGAAATTCTCTCTTTGAGTGTAAAGGAGATTACGAATCCAGAGACGTTTGATAGTCTGGGACATTCTACTAATGGTGGACTATATGACCCACATTTAGGTGATTACAGACCTCTGAGCTAGACTTGAGTTGTATTTGCGATCATGAAGGACAAAAATTATATTATTTTATTTTCGTGGTTTATTATACACTTTGATACATTTGACACATCCTGAATTTAAAAGGTTATTTAAAAGAGGTTTGACTGCATAATAACTATACTATCATAACATTCATTCTAACAGGTGTATAGTCACCATAAATAGGGCCGTACCCTTGCTTTTTCTGTGATTTTATCAGGATTTTATCTGTTACAGTTCCTGCATTTTATAAGCCAGATTTACCATAGGCCTTTCAAGTGAACTGTGTAATATCCCAAACTTTAGCTAACAAATCTTGGCTATAATAATATGTCTGCTACGCTGGCCGCCAGCTTACACGACATAAAACAGTTTTTGGAGATGTTTTCTGAGAAAATAATTGATTCTATAAGCCACGAAATATGGTTTATAATGTTACAAAAGGCCACATGACGATGAACTCTTTTTTAAGGATAGTTAACATGACTCCACCTTTCGTTATGCTGAGCTCAAAAGAAAGCAGAACACGTTTAGGGTGTGTGATTGCTGCGTGCTTAGAATTGAGCACCCAACCCCAGCATAGCTCTCTTAACTCTTTGGCTATGCCTATATCATGGACATGTTGATACATACGGTTGTTCTAATATTATGTAGATTGTAGATACATGTAGCTATAGCATAGATCTGATTGTGATGGTATATTTATCATAGATATTTCTGCTTTACGTTCCAGGTCCGACTGATAGGAATGATGTGTGTGCAACATGCATGCTCAACCAGCAACACTGTCCTGGTCACATGGGTCATTTTAACTTATCATTACCAGTCTTCAATCCGTTCTACTTTAGGAATTTGCTCCAGGTACTTTGTTATGATCATTTGTCATTTAGGATCTCTCAATCAATCGCACAAACACACAAAAAACTAAAATAATAATACAGTTTACGGGTAATCATTAAATTGTCGCAATCACATCGATGAGATTGTAATAGGAATGACAGGTATTTTCTGTGATTGAAGCTGATTTGATTGTGAACCTATTGTTACGTATCAGAAACATAGCATTAAAAAATAAATTCTAACGAATGTTCATGATAAGATCGTCACACACATGCGAACCTATGTGTCTGTCTAATAAAAGTACAAAACTGCGAGCCATCGCAAACACCTAATCGTCAAGGTTACATAATGTGTGACTATATGTTCATAACTGTTTAGCAAGCAGCTGTGGTTTTAAACGCTCCCGTGTCCTTCACCGCGCGATTCTCCGCCTGTCATTTAGATTCTGAAGGCGAGCTGCTTCAGCTGCCACCGGCTGCGCGCCCCGTCATTGCAGAGCCACCTGGCGGTGACTCAGCTCGCGCTGTTTGACCACGGCCTCGTGGAGGCGGAGAGCCGGATGCGCGAGGTGCTGCAGGCCGTCGTCGACGAGAGCGCGGGCGCGTTCAACTGTGAGGAGCTCGTCAGGGAGGCGCTCGACGCCGCCGCCGCAAAGATGCTGCAAGGTCGGTGTCGCGATGAGCAACATGTCGCGTGTGTGGAAAATCGTGCGCAGTGTGCGGCGCAACGATGTAAAGTTGCGTTGTGTACAGGTAAAGCTGTATTCGAGGGTTAGTCGAGGAAGAGTGGGCTTTATAGAGAGGTGTCCATTCTGTGGAGGTCATTTCAGTGTGTAGCTGCTACTCGAGGGAAACGTCAGATGTGTCCTTTATGAAAAGTGTTCCTTTTGTTGGAGGTGGCCACTAACAGATGTTTCAATGTGTGTGTACAATAATCTATAGATATGTTTATGGTTTTTGCTGATGAATCAATAATTATGGTGGCGCTAATTTTTATGCTAGGTACATTAAAGCATATAGGCACCTCAGCAAAAAACAACCAACGTGGCACATTTAGTGGTAATACACCCTCAAATATCGCTTCAAAGCATCAAGAGCAATGAGACTGATCCCAGGTTCAGACTGGTAAAATTTGTTCAGTGTATAATATTGAGTGCACTAAATATAATCCAAAGCTTTAGTATTAGGTGGATAAGAAAACTTATAGCTGGTCCTAAAGAAATTGGACTAACTTGCTGTTAGGCTTAATTATGATGTTTTGTTGTGCTATTAATGATGCATGACTGTTTTTCTATTTTTTAGAGAGCAAATGCAAAATAGAAAAGGAACGCACACCTAGTAAAAATCTGATAGAGTTAAGACGTCTCCTCGTAAAAGATTTTCTCAAAAATCTCATGTCATCAACAAAAAAGGTAAATCTTTAAAAGCTTTTTATGGAAACTAGACATTTCATAATCAAGCTGCCTTACATAGTTCATTAACAAGTATTTATAATAGTCTCTAGTGGCAGCTATAAAGAGTTGTATATACTAAATTTATTATCATTCTAATTTTAATATAGACAGTATTTACCTCTAAAAATCCTGCAAACAATGTTTTTCGCAAATACTTAACAACTAATGTCATATAGCGTGATACATACATAACTTCAACAATAGCACATGGGGTGCACATAGAAGTTCATGGCTTGATAGCTTCAAGCTTATAGTAATTCTACACATGTTTCTGTTCTCGATTAGTGTCCACACTGTCACATGCCTGGTAGAGCATTAAGACAGGAATACAACACCAAGATCATGTTTACGAAAGGTATCAGCAACAGAGCAGCTAACAAAGCTTTACAAATGGCAAGAGAGCTTAAAGATAAAAGGTATACATATTATTTGGTTTATTTAATTAACTTTAATTACTTAAAACTTTTTTAAGATTTAATTAATTAATTAATTAATTAAGACAATTAATGCGGATTTGTGGTTTACAAAAGGTTTATAAAACTATAATCTGTGAGTGTAATTTTTTAGGCCAAACCCAAATATTGCTTGCAATAGCTAAAATAATAATTAACCTGTATTAATAAATATAATAATTAATACAAATTACTGTTATGATTTATTCATTTACTTATTTAAATATTTAGAATGGGTTGACATTTAATTTTGTCATTTGACATTTGGTCATGTTGTTTAATACTATCAAATTAGAGGACAACTATGCAAAACTACACTCCTCATTTCCAACCATGTTCTTGTTGTTGTCAGCCATGCCAAGTTTGAAACGATTATGTTTTAGTTTGACATGACCTATTTCAATGTATGTTAGATTGTGTGCATCATTTTGTGATTGTTTGCATTCTTTCTTATAAACAGGATTACAGAAGAGGTGCCAGAAGGTGTAGAGTTTGGTGAAGGACAGCATGACAAGATCAATGATGAGAAACAAACCAAAGAGAGCAAGATCTCAGAACTCATGGGGCAATCGTATGGCACCATAATATTCTTTTGATTTTCAGTACAGTCAACACTGTATTTAAGGTTTTATATACATTCTATACATGCTTTATAGACATGTGTCTTTTCTATAGAGGTAACGCCTAACACAGGTTTGACCGTAGTATAATATTTTGGACATTTGCTCGGATGGTTATATTTGGCAGTGTCTAGAAAATATTTAGATAGGTTGGAAAATAATTTTAGTCATGTAATACTGTTGACATTGTCCCCATATTCTTCTTGCTACATTAGACAATGGCAGATTCAACACAACGTATTTTTCCATGAAAGTATGAATAGATATTAATCAATACAAATTACCAGTCAAAACACCGCAAGGTTAAAAAATTCTACTATGGGAAATCATTGCAAAGAAGCACTTGGTTGCCTAGCGACTTATTACTACAGCGCCCTCTGCATTAACACCTAGGTACCTGACGCCGGTGGATGCCCGTAAGCACCTGCGAGAGGTGTGGAAGAATAGCGGCCAACTTCTGGGCAAGCTGTTTCCATCTCTTGAAGCCGGCGCATCGCCCGATAACCTTTGTCCTCTTGACTTTTTCTTCCTTGATGTCATTGCGGTGCCCCCCTCCAAGTTCAGGCCAGTACGTTCACTCTCACATGTATATGCTTTAAGTTTAATGTAGCGTTATATTATATCATATTATATTATATTATATATTTTATTATCAGAAGTGTATAATATCGGAGGTGTATAATATATATTCTATATTATACACTCCTGATATTATGACATTAATCACAACTTTTATTTTCTGATACTTATTTGTTTAATGTGGCCAATAAAGAAAGTGAATCTGCTGACACATTTTAGACATAGAAAACACATATTAGGCACATAGAACACATTGCAACACATATTCATATGTTTTCCTGCCAAGAGAAGTAAGTACATATTTATATTAGACACATTTATCAAGAACGCATGCATATTCACGAGTTGCCGTGCGCACAATCTGTTCAAGACCATGACTATGACTAAGACTTTTATAAGCGTTCTAGAAATGTGCTTAAAGTTTGCTGCACCTGGATATGAGGTTGTGAGAATAACTGAATGATTCTATTTTCAGTTAAATGTGTTGGGTGACAGGAAGTTTGAAAATTCGCAATCACTCAACCTGCAGAGCATCATGAATGAGAATCTGATATTACACCATCTCCTCACCATGATGCAGAGCAAAGATAAATCTGTTCAGAGTAGTATTGTGAGTCGAGTTTTTATAAATCTTTATTTGTTTTAATTTGCTAAAATGAGAATCTTAACATTAATTGTTAGCAAGAATGATAAGAGCTATTAGTGCCATGTAACATAACATAATGATCCATTATTCTTATAACTCCCATTTAAAAATTTAAAAAGTTAGTAGGCCAACGGACAGGTTAGTAGATATACATACTATTTCATGGAAGAGTATCTCTTGCAGACGGCGATTAGTCAAGTGCAGGGCGACACGGTCATGGAAAAACTTCAGAATACGTGGCAGCGCATGCAGACCTGTGTGAATGTGATGTTCGACAGTGACCTCAACAAAGCAGCATTCATTAAGGACAAGACTATAGGAGTGAAACAGGTGCAACATTTTTGTAGTCAAATACTAGTTAAGGATAGCCAAATGACATAAAGCTTGGCAATGTCCGGGTTTCATTTGACCATGAGGTCCACTTGGCTATAGAAATTCGAAAGTGAAATTTTGATAGATAGATACCCACAATAGATCTTTTCTCCTCGATTAGATTATATTATTTACAGCAATATATTATTTCGAATTTCAAGCAATTTGCCTGATTTAAGAAACCATTTGGGTTTCGCTAGCAAAACATAGTTTGTGCTGCATATACTAGATCAGTGCTTCTTAAACTGGTGAATGGTTCACCCAAGGTTGAATGAAATTATTTTGGGATGAATGAAATTAGCTAGACCAAAAAAAAGGAAATTTAGTTGTGGGTGAATGAAATTTTGTGATAAAGACTCGAGGGCGGATGACACTGAAATAGTGTAAGAAGCACTGCTGTAGATGGTGCAAAGTAACGACACGAATTAGGCGCAGCTACTCTTTTCCCGTGTCGTTCGGCCTACTACTTCTGACTACATTAATATTACTGACATTTCATCATTCATGCCGCCGTCGACACATTGCAGCTGCTAGAGAAGAAGCAGGGTCTGTTCAGGAAGCACATGATGGGCAAGCGCGTGAACTACGCGTGTCGCTCCGTCATCTCGCCCGACCCGTACATCGACACGGACGAGATCGGCGTGCCGGAGGTGTTCGCGAAGAAGCTGACCTATCCGACGGCGGTCACGCCGTGGAACGTCCACGAGCTGCGGCAGATGGTCAAGAACGGACCAGACGTGCACCCGGGGTGAGTCGTGACGCGTCCAAATCTGTTACAGGTCGAGTACCCCCTAGATGGCATTTATAACATTGCTGGTCACATTTGTTGTATATTTATTGAGTTCATTGGCAGAATCATCAGAATCATCAAACAGGTTACGACTATTCGACTACTGTCAGTCTAGGATGGCCGTAACTTTTGCGTAGCACTCAATATGCAAAGTTACAGGCGTCGTAGGTTCATGATGTCCTGATTATTAAGGACAATTTCTGGCAGGGGACACCTGTATGTATTACTGGTAGCATTTCCCCTAGGCATCATTTGTGTCGCTGCTATTGTCAACAAACGAGTGGTTTGGCAGGGAGTGGAATGTATATTGAGCAGCTTTGTTGTGTGTTTGCGAGTTTGAGAGTCGAGAGAGTTTGTGTGTTAGAATTTATTAATACTAATGATTTTCATGTTATATTACTAAGTATGCAAATACGTGGAAAGCTTTGAAGGGTCATTGTCCCATAACAGCAGATGTCATTGTGGCTGGACTGTTCTTTGTGCACCATGACGTGAGCATGCAGACATGACCATGAGTTTGTAGTAGTTAGCTGCCCACAATGGCTTTCACAGATCTCGTGCTCATTTCAGTGCTGCTTTTGTCATTAACGAGAATGGATCGAAAACTCTGCTGGGTAGCATGACGAGATCAGAGAGAGAGGCAATAGCCAAACAGCTTCTCACACCAGATAATGTTATGAACAAGATGATGGGGGTGAAACAGGTACATGTTCCTGAAGCTGTCATGTCCATATACCTATCGGTATATCATATGCATATTTATACCTCTAGACATTGTATTGTCAACGGACTGTTTCAACTAACTTCTACGTTCGTTGGAGGTGTAAATCATTTGTGATGAGGTGGTAGTTACTTAAATTACTCAATTTTGCTAAACATTAATAAATTCTATCGTGAGGCTCATTCTTTTTTATCATTGTGCAATGTAGTTGTTGCATTTTGCCGAAACAGGTTTACAGACATCTCAAGAATGGTGATGTGATGCTGTTAAATCGACAGCCGACTCTACACAGACCAAGCATCATGGCTCACAAGGTATAATTTGTCTGTACTGTCTGTGTGTGTGTTTTTGTTAACTCCCATTCCTTATACGTGCATGCTGCTGACTAATGCTTAGGGTATGCTGTATATATATATATATATCAGGAGTAGATAATAGGGAAGGAGTGTGACATCAATAAACAAGGGAAATTCGTCATTTATTAGCCTTATAATACCTACGATTTACTACGCGTAACTCATCCAACTTGAGCTCAAATCGTACACAGTACATTCGCCTAGCATCGTGCGAAATCGTTTCCTCGTTTACACAAGCAATCTGGAGATACAGACTAAAACGTACGACACGATTGTCCATTCTTTGGCCATCAATCCAAGTCCATTGCCCGCCTCTATTAAAACAAAAGGCAGCTATACTGACGCGCTGTTGCTGTGCTTGCTCTCTCGGAATGTGGAATGTGGCGGTGTGGCTAGCGGGAGCGGCGAGGAAACGATTTCGCACGATGCTAGGCGAATGTACTGTGAACGATTTGAGCTCAAGTTGGATGAGTTACGCGTAATAAATCGTAGGTATTATAAGGCTAGTAAATGACGAATTTCCCTTGTTTATTGATGTCACACTCCTTCCCTATTATCTACTCTTGATATATATATATATATTTATATATATATATATGTATATGTATATATATATATATATATATATGTATATATTTATTTATTCATTTTATTAATATATAATTATTTAGTTTCACACAGTTTGTTTCAATAATTAATAAACCATGTTGCTGTTACTTGTAGGCACGTGTGCTTCGCGGAGAAAAGACCATTCGGCTGCACTACGCAAACTGCAAGGCCTACAACGCAGATTTCGACGGTGACGAGATGAATGCGCATTTCCCACAGAGCGAGTGCGGACGGGCAGAGGCCTACAATCTTGGTATTTCTCACTCTGCCGGCCCCTATATGTAACTGGTTGGTGCAAGACTATATTAAAGGAAAGAAATGTGCATCGTTTCCTGGTGATGTTCGTGCAGCTCAAACTAATTGCCTGCGTAAAGTCGTGTCAGAGATCTATAGTGGTTGTGAATATTTAATTTTCTCTTCATCTTGGTGTAGAATATTCATGGAATAACTATTTATTCATGACTTTTCTCATAGTGGATTTTTCTTCAGTTTGGACTGGCTTTAAAAATTGACGTTTATTAATTCTTTATACACGTGCCTTACTGAAAGAAAGTAGAACAGTATTTATATTGAAAGTTACAAATATGTCATTGAAACTGATTTTTTATATGAAATTGCATATATATTAAATACAATGTAATGTGCATAAATGCACATAGCATGCAATAAATGTGCATTTAATAACTATATAATAATTATTATTATAAACGTTATAGTAAATATAAATATGCGGTTAAATTTATAATATATCATAAATTATTTATGATATATTTATCGGGTTATTGGATATTATATAATTATTTGTTTATTTGACAGCTCTTAGTACACAGCAGTACCTCGTGCCAAAAGATGGCACGCCACTGAGTGGTCTCATTCAGGACCACATGGTGTCTGGTGTTATGATGATGATACGTGGCCGGTTCTTCAATAGGTAAGCTGTGATCTTGCTGAGTGGCTCAATTACCAGTGATGTGCCATCAATTCACGATAATTCACATAAATTTTCAAACAGGGCACGTTGGAAATCTGAAATTTATAGGAAATTCACAATCAATATAGGGGGAGATTGAGTAAGTAGTCATGCCAAATATATTCGAAGGTGGGAATCATGCTGCATAACATATTTATTGCAAATAATTAAGTGGAAAATAATTCCAATCTGCAGCATATTTAATTTATTAATTGTTTTTCCCATATTTTTTTTCAGAGCGGATTACCACAACCTTGTGTTCTCGTGTCTGTCTGACCACCGGAAGCGTGTGACATTACTTCAACCTTCAATCGTAAAACCTGCTCAACTCTGGTCTGGAAAACAGGTACTGTATTTTTTTATTTTTTTATTACTTCTACGTTAACGTCGTTCTACCAAGCCTTGTTTATTGTGTTTTTTTGCCCAACAGAAAGCCTCAGTAACATACGTCGTTTAACGGTCTTGCATGAAACCTGATGTAAAGTTCTACTGCGGTTCTATCATTACTTGTGAACCTATCAAGGTTGCATCATCTGTGAACTTTTCCATCGTGTGTATAACATTAACAGTTTGTGTCGACAGTAATTCCTAACTTGCCTACTTGTGTCTATCACATTCATTCCATTAACAGGTCATATCGACAGTGATTTGCAACATCATTCCTCATGGAAAAGTCCCTCTAATGCTTACCGGAAAAGCGAAGATATCAAGCAAGAACTGGCAACAGGTTTCTCATTAACATGCCTTTCTGACTGCAGTCAGTCCTATATTGAACCTTGTTTTTTTTGTCAAATTTTATGGGTGCTATCAACACCAAAGTTCAGATTAAACTCTTATTATTGAATTAATGGGCAGGGTTCCTCCTGCACATTCTCGCCTGCAGTGTTATTTCCTTGCCTTAACTGTGTGGGTGCATGCTCTAGACTGTGCCATTTTCCATTAATTCTGCATGTCACTACATTAACATGAACTCTCGTGTTTCAAGGTGCCAGCACGGCGTTGGATAGCCGGTGGAACGCCTCTGCAGGGCGACAACATGACAGAGAGTCAGGTAGTCGTCAGACATGGAGAGCTGCTGGTGGGAGTACTGGACAAGGGTCACTATGGAGCGACGCCCTATGGTCTTGTGCACTGTTGCTACGAGGTGAGATCACTTTTACCCAGATGTGTCTAACCAAGAGCTATATAATTCGGGCCTAAAGTTGCACATTTTCATGTTTCATAATGCGAAACAATATAATAAGTAACCCACTGACTGTTTTAATACTAGTGTTGTCAATCGGTTGTAATTTCGTAATCGATCATCGGTTGGACCCAAGTAATCGATGATCGGTTACAATCGGTTACTCGGGGTGTTGAATGCCTGCGTGTGTGTAACGTCGTGTGCATGTACGTGAGTGCATGTATGTGCTTGTTTAGCCCTGTTTACTGTTTGTTTTGCACTGTTTACTACTGTGTGTATAATACATGTATGTTAATAAAGGATAACTTGTATAGTAGCAATGATATCTCTGATTCTCATCACTTTTCCAAGTTTTCTTGTTCAAGTTTTATTATTATTTATTTTTATTTATTTATTTTTTTTGTTGTTGATGAAATCGATTATGGATTTTGATAACCAAGCTCTTGGTTCGAGCCACTGTTCAACCGATGATCGAGTATAATCGATGATCGTAACATCACTATTTAATACTACATGTATTTTATTTAAAAAAGCATATCATATTCAATGTATAATGAAATAAAGTTGTATTTAATGTTTCTGTCTACCTATATTTAAATAACTTTATAATGAACATTTTAAACGTATACGCCCGTTCATGGTTATTATAGGTTGAAATATTGTTCCGTACGTTCGGCAACTTCTGGTTTTGTCTCACAGCAATTCCTAATTACATGTAGCATGCTAATCTTGACGTTTGCACTATTGCAAGTAGCGCCTCTATCTATATCATAGAAATATATAGAGACACATGGTCTAACTAGTATATTATTTCTATGATCTATATACTTTAATGACTGAAACAATGGCATAGTGCTGCCAAAATTAATTCATAAATTCATGGTGGTAGATGGCGCTTTTTAGAGGAAGCATTTTATAGAATGCGCATAATGCTATAGAAATACCAATAAATAATAATAGAAAACCATAGTGAATTATGGATTATATTATTTTAAGGAATTTTAGCCAAACAGTTGTGGAATTTTGCGTAGACCAAAGTGAGAGCACTGAGTGATTCAGTATAAAGATGTTAAGCCACCACAACCAAATTGTGAACCCATGCATATATGGGTGACAAGTAAACTGTCATGTCATTGTGCTGTTTGCTTTGGATATAAGCACATATTTGTGGCCAACAAGCTTATTATGCTGCAGAAGCAATTTGTGTTTTGTGTACATGTGTTGACAATAAATTAATGGTCCACAATCTGTTTTGTAGTGGCTAAGAAATCTTTTGATCCACAAACTGTTTGTGGTGGCTAATACATTTTTTAGATCCAGAAACTGTTTGTGGTGGCTAAGAATTTTTTAGGTCCACAAACTGTTTGTGGTGGCTAAGAATTTTTAGGTCCACAAACTGTTTGTGGTGGCTAAGAAATTTTGGGAGAGACAGGTCACACGAGGTCATTGCAAGCGAACCATGTTGTCATTGCAGCTGTATGGTGGAGCAATCTCTGGCAAGCTACTGACCAGTCTAGCGAGACTGTTTACTGCATTCCTGCAGCTGCGTGGGTTCACACTGGGTGTGGAGGACATCATCGTGACACCAGATGGCGACAGCAAGCGTGCAGTAATCATGGCCGCCGCGAGGAATGCGGGTTCAGAGGTCGCCGCTAAGGCACTTGGTGTCAGCAATTACACAGATGAGGTGCTGAATCTGTTATACATAATTATAACATGTGCTATAATAGTTATACAGTCAAACCTCGGTTATCCGAACATCAATAATCCGAATTTCAGATTATCCTAACAAGATCTCAAGGTCTCGTGAATACGAGACGGTAATACGATCGTTAACGGTAATACGATCCGATTAGTTATCCGAACAATCAGTTATACATGTTATATGGACAAAATACTCCCTGTGCACTCGGTCGGATAATCGAGGTTTAACTGTATGTAGTAAAAGTTAATAGGTTAAATAAGGATGAAAGTCGTTCTTTTTCTCGCGGCTGCATAGAATGTAAATAACTGTGCAATGGAACATTCTTGGTTTGAAATACACCACATATGATTTTTGACTACATTCTACTTTCATAAAAGATGCATAATTTTTAATTGAATTATTTCATTAATAATAATGTAGTACATAATATAAGTGAATATTTCATACCAATAGAACGAGATTTCACAGCGGTATCGTGCCAGCCACTACAGCCAGGATGATGGTGATCTCAAGGAGCTGGACTTGTGTATGAAAGCAAAAACAGATGAGACGAATAACGAGATCAACAAGGCCTGCTTTCCACACGGCATGCTGAAGACGTTCCCTAACAACAACTTGCAGCTGATGGTGCAGTCCGGTGCCAAAGGCTCAATGGTACATTTACCGCATAAACATATCATCTTGTCGCAACCTTAATGCGTGTGTAAACTAGAGACTTGCACTGGATATGTCCTTGTGTTTATTGGTATGATAGTATCAACAGGTATGTGCTTGTATCTATGAGTATGCACTTGATTCTAAAGGTATGCACTTACTTGTTTCTATGGGTGTGGGATTGAAACTACAGGTGTGCTGGTATATTGCATATATATCCTGGTAGCTACAGGGATATGTTTGTATCTATAAGTATGTGCTTGAATATACAGCTATGTGCTTGTATCTACACTTATATGCTTATATTTACAGGTATGCTTGTATCCACAGGTACGTGCTTGTATCGACAGGCACGTGCTCACGTTAGGCATACCCTGGCTGCGTTTTTTCACTCCTACAGGCATACACGTCAACCTGTCAACACGCGCATGTTTAACGTTGTTTCCGTGCGCGCTCCCGCAGGTGAACTGCATGCAGATCTCGTGCCTCCTCGGACAGATCGAGCTCGAGGGCCGGCGTCCGCCGCTGATGATCAGTGGAGCGCAGCTGCCGTCGTTCGCGCCGTACGACACGACGCCGCGCGCCGGCGGCTTCATCGACGGACGCTTCCTCACCGGCATACGCCCGCAGGAGTTCTTCTTCCACTGCATGGCCGGCCGTGAGGTGCGTGGTGGGAGGGGGAGGGGGAGGTGTGTGCGGCAGGAGGAGGGGGAGGGGCTGTGGCGGAGGGGGAGGTGTGTGTATTGGGTGGGGGGGGGAGTGGGAGAGGAGGTGAGGTATATTCCAGCCTTATCGACTGCCGCTCCTTCACCGGTATACGCCCACAGGAGTTTCTTCTTTCACTGCCATGCCCGGACGCGAGGTGTGTGGCGGGAGGGGAGGGGTGTGGGTGGCGTGAGGGAGTGAGGTGTGTGGCGGGAGGGGAGGGGAGGTGTGGATGGGTGGGGAGGGTCAGGTGTGGTAGGGGTGGGGAGGTCGGAGATATGGATGGTTGGGGGGAGGGTCAGGTGTGTGGTAGGATGGGGATGGTGGAGGAGGGTCAGTGTGCATGGTAGGAGTGTGGATGGGTGGGAGGGTCATGTGTGTGGTAGGAGGTGGGGAGGGGGAGTGGGATGGGTGGAGGAGGGTCAGCGTCATGGTAGGAAGTGTGGATGGGTGGGGGAGGGTCAGGTGTGTGGTAGGAGGTGGGGAGGGGAGGTGTGGCATGCGTGGGGGAGAGGGTCAGGTGTGTGGGTAGGAGGTGGGAGGGGGTGTGGATGGTGGGGGAGGTTCTAGGTGTTGTGGTAGGATCGGTGGGGGAGGAAAGGTGTGTATCGGGTGGGGGAGTGTCAGGTGTGTGTTAGGAGGTGGGGATGGGTGGGGGAGGGTGATGTGTGTGGTGGGGGAAGGAGGGCAAGGTGTGTGTGGGTGGGGGAAGCAGTCATTTGCATATGCTACATTAGCAATAGTGCTTTCTGTTATTATGTTGCATGTACTCTGTAAATGATACTGTAACAATGAGGTAATAATTATGCACGTTCACACTGATTCAGGGTCTTATAGATACAGCCGTGAAGACAAGTCGTAGTGGTTACCTGCAGCGCTGTATAATCAAGCATCTAGAGGGCATCATAGTCAACTACGATATGACTGTGAGAGACAGTGACGGTAGCGTCATTCAGGTAGTTATAAGAGTTATAGATACATGTTATTAAGACTTATAAAATTAAGAGAACTAAATAAGAGTTATCCTAATTATGGTAGTATAGTTTTGTGGTTAAAACTATTTTACATTTTACTGCCTGATGTGAAGCGTAAAGTCTAAGTAGAACTAGCACAGGAGATAATAGAAATTATTTTACAAATGAGAAGTGTAGCTTCCTCACTCATTCATAAATACATTACATGCAAGATATTACTATTAATAGTATTATAGGGGGTATATAATGACTGTGTATACAATAATCTTGACAGCACCAGGGTTTCTTCTGAGGGAAAATTAGACAAAGGCACATGATGGATTCAAAGGCGTGCCGACAACGGCAGTGCGCCACTGTGCCTCTGATGTATAAGAAACCCTGAGCACTGAACTAGATTTGTTGTTATTATTGTTTTTTAGTTTCTATATGGTGAGGATGGTCTTGATATTGGGAAGACACAGTTTCTGAACAAGGGACAGTTCAGATTCCTCATTGATAATTACGATGCGGTGATTGATAAACGTCCCATTGAAGACATACAGAAGGTGATGGACACCGCGACAGCACCGAAGCTGCAAAAAAGCGTACGGTCGTATTTCTCGGAATATTTTTTCTTAGATATTTTGACGGGGCATACCACACAAGAGTTTTATCGCTAGTGGGTATTTTCGATGTAGATAAACATTCGTAAGTTTGTCAGTCAGTGGAGTCATATAGCTGTTTTGATTAGGAGCGATGCTAAACGAGTCTTGCATGCATACACCTGCCACAAAGGTAATAGAATAATAAAAGAAGCCTTTTCCTTTGTTCTGCTCTATATTATATATTACTCTATATTTATACAGATATCGAAGTGGAAGAGGAAGCGTGGTTCCTCACATAAACAGAGGTGCTCGGCTTTCCTGAAGTACGGTCAGAAACACCTTCCCGAGCTCCGAGAGCAGTTTGGGGAGGTGGCCGGTGCCAAGAGAGGCATGGCTTTCACCGCCCTCGTGAACTCCTGGAGGGAGTTGGATGACGATAAGAGAAGGAAGTAAGTCAGAAATTGCCATTCACATATAGTAAGGAAACCTGTAAACATATATACGAGAATATTTTTTGCTTGAACAGTAGGTGTCTGTAATGAACAGCTGTGTGTGTGTGTGTGTGTGCGTGTGTGCGTGCGTGCGTGCGTGCGTGCGTGCGTGCGTGCGTGCGAGCGTGCATGTGTGAGCATGAGTGCGTGCATGCAAAACAGATTCGAGTTTAGTAATATTTTTGCAGGTATGAAAAGCACATATCTGGTTGCCCCGATCCCGTCAGCTCGCAGCTATCTGCATGTCGGTACTTTGGCGCCATCTCTGAGAGAATGTCTGACGTCGTCGATGACTACCTGAGCCAGAATCCCGATAACCTCATTAGTAAAGAAGCTGATCACCAGAGGGGGCGTGTGAGCCAGGATGAGTTTCGGACATTGATGTATTATGAGAACATGAAGGCGATGTGTGAACCAGCAGAGGCAGTCGGCTTGCTAGCCGCTCAGGTATAGTTCAACATCCTGTTATGTGCAGGTTAGACTAATATTACTGTTAATGTTAATGTACTCCTAATTATATCACTATCAGTAGGATACACATACAAGATGGATATGTCTCTAGTGCCAACGTAGTTGTATTAGTAAGTGTAATAATTGCGTCATATTTCTTCTTCTTTGACGTAACATTTGTGCCATTACTGTCAAGTAAAGAAATTGTGATCGAATTTATTTACTTCTATTCATATTGCCTTGATAATTGCTTCGATTTAGTTGTGAATTATAATTAAACATAGTCTTATATAGCATTTTAATTCATGGTCATCATTCAGAATTCCCTTAGTAGGATCAGCTCCAGAGGCGTGATTATGTGAGCATACTAGCATGGTTCGTGACCTCACGGCCAACTGTGATATAACACATTGTCGACTATTCCCGAGTGACCTGCCATCTCGAATTAAATGATGTGCACTTTTAGTCGGCACTTGGAGTGTATGGTTTAAGTTTGTATATATTGTCGGACATTACTTTGCTTCAGGGACAAAACCAGCGACGCCAGCTCAATGATAGATAAGGAGAGATGATGTGGTATATTATCGACGCCATTTTTGGTATTAGAGTGCGTTCTTCTTTTGTACCCCGCAGTCGATCGGCGAACCTTCGACCCAGATGACCTTGAACACGTTTCACTTTGCCGGGCGTGGAGAGATGAACGTCACGCTGGGTATACCGCGTCTGCGCGAGATTCTGATGGTCGCCAGTGCCAGCATCAAGACTCCGACGATGGAAGTGCCATTCCTCGATCACGTGTCAGCCCGGCAGATGAAGACTCTGCAGCTGAAGCTAACACGCGCCTACCTGTCGACGGTATTATATTTATTATATTAATATATTTTTATATTTATATATATATATATAATTATATTGTATATATAAATATTTTTATTATATTTATTTTTGTAACCTAAGTAAGTCACTAGTACCAAAGTACACAAGTACCTAAGTGAACCTTGTAAATTAAAAAATGAAATAGTAACCAAATTTATTAATTCAATAATGGTTTACAATATTCGTTTTTGCACATTTTTAGGTTTTTCTTTCGTGAACCATGTGGACTTTTCAGTTTTTGTTTTGTTGATTGTGATGTTAGGCTGTTAAATGTATTTTGTGTGTCGTTTTTACAGGTTGTGGAAGAAGTTAGAATTTGTGAGAAGATGTCAATTGAAGATGGTGGATGGTGAGAAATTTTAACATAAAAAAAAATATCTATAAGGCTTTTTGAACATGTTGAACTATTTCACAACTATTAACTCATACTAAATTTCATTGCAAAGGACAACCTGTAACTATAGCTTTCAAATGAGATGTTTTTTTTCTGAACACTTCGCATGAGAAAATGCTCAAGAAATCCGCATTTGGTCGGTTGCTTTCAGGCAGAAGTTCCGGATATACAAGCTGTTCTTCCAGTTCCTGCCGTACTCACGCTACAAAGACAAGTGTGCGCTGCGACCAAGCAACGTGCTGCATTTCATGCAGACGAAATTCATCAAGAATCTTCTCTCCGTCATCCAGAAAAAGATGAAGAGCAGCACAAAAGCAGCTGCACAGTGAGTATGCCTGCTGGCAACGTGCCAATGAATGATGGAGATGTCATTGATGTCAGTAAAGGTCACCTTATCCTAGCTGGCGGGACAGTTAACGTTGGTTAAGTCTGCGTTCTGACATCTATGCATACACGGGTTCAGGATTAGGCTAGCTTTATGGTGATGATGTATGATGATGATGATTCTGAAGAATGCTTGACTGAGCTGGGGCTAAAGAATACATGATCGGCTCAGGTTTAGCTTAGGGTCATGGTGACGATGTACGTTCTGATGAATGTACATGAGGAGGCTTGAGCCAGCCGGGATTAACGATAACGGCGGTCAGGGATGTTGTTTGTAGATTGGATATTCAGCACTCTGGTGTCTATGCATGCTGCTAAATCGTCTGCAGCCTACACTACAATACCCACTCGCGTAAGCATTCCATTTGCGCATCTATTTAACGCTATTCACAAACATGTGGCAGCTCTGACTCGGTCGTGGCGTTGTGTGTCTGTAGGCAACTGCACGTGGCGTCGTTCAAACCCGCAGTGTCCCGGCGAGCGAGCAATGAGGACGACGATGATGAGTCGCCACCAGGTGGCGATGCTGGAGGCGGGGGTGATGCAGAGGGGGCGCCACCGGATGTCGGCGGTAATGACAGCGAAGACTCGGGGGATGAAGCGAACGATGGGGACGCGGGTGCGGAGAAGGAGCGTGAGCGAGCGGGTGACGACGGGGAATACCGAGGCGAGGAGGAGGAGATGGAGGAGATGAACATGACGGAGGAAGAGGATGATGAAGAAGAGGAAGGTATTATAGCAACTATTGCTTCTGGAACGTGAAATGTAATTAATCTCCCTTCGGTTAAATTTTATCGTTCAAAAATGTGAAATGTATTTTTAATGTTCAATGTGAAGTATATTATTAATCAGTTATGCGATGTAGTTAATTTATATGGCTTTATTTCCTTTGTGTTATTCAGTAGTTTTGACATCAATATTTTCTATTGTTTATGATGATTAATTGAGAATATCTGTCATTAATTTAACACACATGTGTTTTATATGGCTTTATTGCCTAGCAGCAGTGCATGAAACCGTGTTGAAAATGTTTTTGTAATTTGGCATTTTGTTCACTCTATTGTGTGAAGAGAATTAATACATGGTGCAGGCAATGAAACACAGAGTCAAATTATAGATGGCTAGTCACCCTGATAATAGGTTAAAATTTGTATATCGTTGATGTTTTGTAGAACAAGATGATGAGGCTGAAGATTCTATCAGTGTAGACAATGTATCAGATGAGGAGGGTCAAACTCTACAGTCTTTAAGAAAAAAGAAAAAACTGAAGAGTATCAGTAAAACACCACCAAAAATGGACGCTGCCATAGTAAATGTAAATATCACCATTGTTCCTTTCTGAGAAGCATTCATTGCACATCCTATTTTCTTTTGCACATATATAATATCTAATGGTATATTTGCTATTTCTAATGTTATAACCATTTACAACAAGTCTGTATCATAATACAATAAACATGCATATACAAATGCATCCGATTCCTATGCCTAATGCACTTAATTACTACTTTTCAGGCCGTGATCAATGTGGCTCGAGAGGTCTCTGGCTACGCATACGATACTGTCAATGAGGAGTGGTGTGAGGTTACTCTGCAGGTGTGTATTTATGTTAGCAGTGTCTACACCACACGTATAACATGGTGTGTCTATTATATTCCCCACACATATATATATATATATATATATATATGACTGCTATTATAATATGCTAGTAATCAGTGGTTCTTAACCTTTTTTGAGTCAAGGACCCCTTTGAGAATCTGCTGAAAGCTACAGACCCCTTCCCAGAAAAATGTACATAAGCATATAGACACAAAATTTTTCCATGCGCCTCATTCACAGACCCCCTAAAGCTTATCCATGGAACCCAAATGGGTCCATGGACCACAGGTTAAGAACCCCTGTGCTAGTTAATTAAATTATTTAATTAATTTACTACACTGTGGTATGCGTAATGTAGCGACGTTCTCTTGTTGTCGCGTAGTATCCGCTCGAGGCGAAGATCGACATGACGTCACTGCTTGAGCAGGAGGTGCGGCGCACGATCCTGCATCAGACGCCGGCAATCTCGCGCGGATTCATCAGTGACGGCATGGGAGCGTTCGCAGGCCGCAAGCTGCTGAAGACCGAGGGCGTCAACATGGCCGTGAGTGGCTGCTGTTACTTGTGTTTTTAGTATTTCTTGATATATCTTCTTTCTTTTTTTTTTCTTTTTTTTTCTTTTTTTTTCATTTATATACTTTGATTTATTGATTTATATTTGTTGATGTATTTTCTGATTGTATTTTCGTGAAGATTTTGTTTTTGTTGGGTTTTACGTTGGAAAAGGCAAATTGCTTTGCTAAATTTTGAACGATCATGTACCTGTAACATTTATTGATATTGGTGTATTTCTCGATTGTAGTTTCACGAAGATTTCATTTTTGTCGAGTTCTAAGTTGGAATAAGGCAAATTGCGCTGCTAAATTTTGAATGACTACATGCCTGTACGTTTATTGAAAGAGAAATCTGTGCATAAAACTGAAACTTTTAGTTGTTTCTTCGGCAAATGGTGAAAAATAGAGGTTTGACGGCCAGATAGAAACCGTTAGCCTACATTAGACAACCTTGGAACAGATAAATAGTGCTTTCGTCCTACGTACCACATACAAATTACAAGTACAATTATAAGAAATGAAATGAAATTAATCGGGTACAATTATTTGTAAATTACGTTTCAGCCATCTGTGTGCTATACACTGCATGTACGTGGCACTGACCTAGATCTAGCATGCTTGATTTCTCATCACTTTGTTGTTCTGTAGGCATTGTGGAAGTATGGTCACCTGCTGGACTTGAAGCATCTGTACAGCAATGACATTCACGCTGTGGCGGGTGCATACGGGATCGAGGCCGCAGCCAAAGTCATCACCACCGTAAGTACAATCAGCGGGATGCTGTGATCATCATTAGGCTTCACACGGTCGGAAGACGTGTGGTTACGAGTAGAAGGGCTCGAATGTCACAACGGCACCCACGCCGTGTGCCGTGGTTATCCTCGTGTGCTGTGGTTGCCTTCCCTGCATTCCGTATTTCTACTCCTTAATGCCGTGGTTGCCCTCCTTACACGCGGCTCCTTACATGGCCTTCAAAATTAAAAGTTTCTTTCTCTCTCTCTCTCTCTCTCTCTCTCTCTCTCTCTCCCTCCCTTTCTTCCTGTAGCCCTCTCGGATAGTTGTTTGTATATATCTCTTGGTTTCATATTGTCATCTGGAAAGTGGTACGTGGTGGAAAGCGTTCAACGTTTTATGTCTTATTGGGATACCAGGTGGCAGCAGCGACATGTAAAAAATCACAGTATCATTGGTCGTATTCGCAATAGTTGATGTTACATAACCATCGTTTGATGCTTTTAATTGCTTCTGCGGTTTCATCTAGCTTCATAGATATTTGTTCTGTTATCAAAAGTGTCAAGCCAGTAATATGTTAGCGTGATTATTATCTGTGAAATGTTTGATTGCCGCAGCTGGCAATCTGCTTTGATAGGTCTTGCAGAATTTTATTGGTGATATTTTAATTATAACTGTTTACGTTAGTTGATTACAGATTGGGTGATGTAGCTGTAAAACGTGTTTCTATACCACGAATACAAAAAAATAAAGAAGAATAGATCACGTCTTATCTAATTATGCTGATATTCTGTAGTCATTTAAGGATGTAGGATGTAGTAGAGTGGGTCGTAGTGCTGGACGATACCTAGTAATCGTGTTGAACAAGGAGTGATGCGCAAGTGCAGTTGGAACTACGAACAAGCGGTTGCTTATTGTAGAAAGGATTGCCTTTCCAGGCCGAGTGCCTATTTCACAGTTGAAACTGCTATAGTCCGTGACTATCAGTATCACACGTCACTGAAAAACTTTAGATTTGCAGACACCCGCTCACGCATGTTGTTCAGTAGCAACATTTTACGGAAGCGTTGAGAAACTCATCATGAATGCTCCTTCGACTGTTTTTAATGAGTGGTTTACTCTGAAGCGTGCTTGTAACACAAGTTACACAGTAACACAGTAACACAAGGGCTTGTAACACCAGTTACACGTAGGCGTGTTGCACTCAATCGCAGGGCAGGTTAATTTGAGTTTGGAGTTTGCATCAGTCTAGTGTTGTAAGCAAGATGGCATTGTTTAGCATATAGTTTCAGTGATAAACATCGGAAGATTATATATATTTAGGAAAATGATGGCAAGATTCTTGGACAAGTTCTCATGTTCCAAGGGTTGATATGGTGCATGGTAATCATAGATTGCAACCGTATATTTGGCAATCGTGTATCGTTAAAATGAACACGGGTACAATGGCTTAGTGGGGGGGGCTGAAAATTTACCCCCACTCTATAGATATACCTGGTATAATTACACACCGAGGAAGACAGAGCGAGAAGGTCTGTGTAAAGGTCGTGTCTGTTCTCGAGTGTAATGTTAGACAGCAAGAATCGGCGAGAATCGAAGCAAACGTTACGAGACATGCTGTCGACTGTCTTGCTTGCACTGTCTTGCTTGCACTGTCTTGCTTGCACTGTCTTGCTTGCTGTCGGTGTCTCGTGTTCGTATAAACGCAACGTGTGTTCTGCGCGAGCAAAAACCACGCCAAAAAATTCCCTTCCCGAAATTATCATGTGAAACGAACACGTGCTGTTGTATTCGAAATCAGCGCGCCATTGTTTCCAAAGTTAGTCACGAAACGCGAGTGCCTTCAAAGAATTGTGCGTAGTTACGAATTTTAAAAGGCTCTCCGGCAATCTAGAGTGACTTGTTTGTGCGGTTGCAATGTCGGTCGCGAGCGAGAGCGAGCGAGAGAGAGAGAGAGAGAGAGAGAGAGAGAGAGAGAGAGAGAGAGAGAGAGAGAGAGAGAGAGAGAGAGAGAGAGAGTGTGTAGTACGTAGTAGTACGTAGGTACGGTACGGGTACGGGTACGGGTCGGGTCGGGACGGTGGACGGCCGGTCCGGTACCGGTCGGTACCGTA